CCTCCTCTGGACACACAAGGAGCCTCATTGTCGACCTCACTCTTAAACGTAGTGTCCTGTGGGAAAACCAGTTTGCTTGCATTCTGACCAGCTCATGGGCACTGGAGTTCAGCTGGAAATTCAAAGAATGCAGCTCAGGCTGCATTCTCTGCTCCAGCCCTCACGTGGCCCTGGCAGTCAGCTCAAAGGCATCTTTTTTCCATGAACTATTCTTAAATCTGTTTCCCCATCTTGTATTTTATTAGTTCAGTCCAGAGCCACAATCTGTCAGGGGTGCCTGATCCTGTCTGTTATCCAACTCAACTCAATTCAGCACAACAGAAGCACAGACACAATCACATACCAGGTACAAATGGGGGACAAAGAGAGATTAACCCCAGCAGGCTGTGTCAGTCACCCATGCCATTCAGAGCATCTAGCACGTGTGTGACTCTGGGCTCAGGCCTAGGACCACAGAGATGGATGGCCTGATGCGTCCCCTAGCTCTCCCACCCCGAGCCTTCTGCAAAGCTGATGGCATGTCTTACCACCTACCATTCAGGAGTGATTCGTATGTACCAGGTAGGTGTTGAGAGCTTACATGTGTTATCTCATGTGTCCTCACAACAATCTTACAGAGTAGGTATCATTAGCCCCATTTTATAGATGAGGAAACTGAGGCTCTGAGAGGATAACGTGCCAAAAGCCACACAGCTAGTACACAGGCAGGTCAGGAATCAAGCCAACATCTATGTGATTCCAAAGCCCATGTCCATGGGTGCTTCTAAGACCACCTGCCATGTCCACATCTGAGCCATCCGCGAAATGCTGCCCACAAGGGGGCTAAGGACCCCACAGAGAACTCTCCCAGGCCTCTTCAGGACCAGGTCCATGCACTCACGAAAACACCTGACAGTACTATTATCCAGTACTTATTTTTCAACCTTCTCCATAAACCCTTGCTCCATGCTTTTTGGAAACCCAAGGATATCATTTACAGCTTCCCCTCGCAGGTACCAAGATGAGAAAAAAAGGCATAAGGCTGATGTCAACTACACAAAGAAAAGGGGCAACTAAGGAAATGCTAAAAAAGCTCTTAGGAGACCCAAAGGAGAATATGACAGCACAAAGGAAAAGAGCAAAAATAAATCCACACAGGGAATTTGCTGGGAGCCAAGTGGTATCACCAGCAGAGATGCTGAGAAACAGGCCTACAGCCCCACTTAACCCCACCGTCTTTTCCCTAACTTGTGTCCTGACATAGGGCACCTAAAAATAAGTGAGAAAAGTCATATATCAAAAAAAGAAAAGAATGGAACGACAGAAAATAGCCAGAAATTATGCCCTTTGGAGCACTAATACAAGCTAAATTAAGCTGCACAGGCCATTGTTTAAACATGCAATTACTCTTCTGGATGGGGACGTCACAATATAGGAACGGGGGGGTTTTGCTCCCCCAGCTCTGGGGCTCCCGCGGGCACATGCACGTTCTCCCAGACTCGAAGTGGGGCAGCAGTCCTTGCTCCTCCAGTCCCCCTCCTACTCGGTCAGGGCTCTCAAGACCCATCTCCCCAAACTCCTCACCCCACCACTCCCGCCACCCCACCTTCATGCCCCTGGGCACTACCTCGGTTCCCAGTTTGTAACAATGCCTCCCTGGGACTATGCACTACCTCCTAATCAGTCTCTCTCGACAGTGCCACCCAAGGACACTTCCTAAAGAACACACCCCGTCATTCTCCTTCTCGAAAACCCGTGGGGAGTGTTCTTTACCCACGACCTTCCGATACCTGGTTCCAACTTCTCTCGTCAAACTCGTCTCCTGCCGTCCTTCCCACACTTCCTGCATTTTAGCCACAGACTGAAATTGGAGGTTAAGTTCATGGACTTTGGGATCAAACAGTCTGTGTTCAAATTCTGACTCCATCACTTGCCAGTTGTGGGACCCCGGGCAAGTTTCTTAACTTCTACCTTAGAGTCTGTTGCACATCTGTCAACGGGGCAACTAATATTTCCTACATAGAATCATTTGAGGGTTAAATAATGCTCCTAAACCACTTAGCACAGAGCCTGGCACCTACTACGTGCTTACTATCAACTGCTGTTGTTAATAGCATCTCTGAAACGTGTGTGCTCTTCAACACCTCTCTTCCCCCTATGCCGAACTCGTCAGCGGCCTCAAGAATTCCTCTTTATCCTTAAACATCCAGCTCCTACATCACCTCCTCGAGGCTCACACCCCATTGCCATCCACACTCCTGTAACAGAGTCATCACACCGTACTGTCATCATTTATGCAACAACGTGATGGAGGAGCCTAGAGCAGGTTTTGATGACAAACAACTCTGGTTTAGGAGCCTAACTCTGCCATTTACTAGCTGTGTGGTCCTGGACAACTCACCTGACTTCTCTACACTTCTGCTGTCTCCTCCGTAAACTGGAGAACAAAATGCACACCTCATGGCGGCGGGGTAGGGTTGGGGGGTAAGGATCAAGCAGCTAACATAAGTACCGCACCTAGCACAGGGCTGGGGCACATACCAGGTGCTTGAACATCTTACTGTTTGCTGCTCTACCTGGCTACCTGTGCTCCTTGCTAACGGCAAACTTCTGAATGACAGAGACTATATTGTATTAGTCACATCTCTAGAGTTAACAGTCCGGAACATAAGAGAAGCTCAGTAAATGATTGTTTGTTGATTGTGTGTTGACTGATTCCCATTTATCAGAGAAGAAACTAAAGCCAAGAGGAAGGTGACTGCCCTGTAGTCACAAAGCCAGCAGGTGGCAGAGCCAGGCCTCAAACTCAGGTCCTTCGGCTCTGAATCCTCAGCTCTTTCCGCCACACCTGCTGTCTCAAAGGCTAAGGAGCCACCCTGAACATCACAGTTGTCAGCCCAACCCCCCTGCGGCTTTACCAGTTCAAAGCAAACCTGGCGAGCTTCCCAGCCAGAGCAAAACAGGCAAATCATACAAAAGGCAAACACCCTGGTCTCAGAGCAGGTCAACCAGCAACCTGAACTGAATCACTGTGGTGTTAAGACTGCTTTGTGCCAGGGGCCTCCCAGACATAGGCCACAACATACCACTCTGGTTTGAAGGCAAAAGAAAGGAACTGAAGTACTGGACATGTACCAGGTGTCAGACACTGGGCTGGGTACATCCCTATCACTCCCACTTTTAGGAAGAAAATTAAAGCTCAAGGTCACAGAGAAGTAGGTGCATGCCAAGCTAGGCTTCGTACCAGGTCTGCCTTCCTAACTCAAGCTCTCTCTACACACACCCAGAGCTAATCTCAGAAGACCCTTGAGCTGAAAACTCCTGGTTGGTCTTTGTCCTCTCATGTCCCCCTCCCTCTGGCCTCCTTGCTGGTCTTCACATTCCCAACCACTCTTCCAGGCACCCACATGGCTCATCCCCCCGTATATCCAGGTCTCACTTAAGAGGCCCTACCTGACCACTCTATAGTCCCTTCTATTTTCCCATGGCACTCTTCACCACCTGACGTATACATAATTGTTTCTGTTTGTATTCCCCCACCGGAATGTCAGCTCCGTAAGACAAGGGAGTCTCTTTATTTTGTTCCTGGCTGTATACCTAGAACAGTACAGTGCCTGACACATAGTAGGCACGTGTGTGTGTGCGCGTGCATGTGCTGAAACAGTCATTGAGCACCAACAAGGCGCCAGGTGCTAGAGTTACAGGAACAAACAAGGCAGCCCCTGACCCCACGGAACTTACACATTAGCAAGAGATGATAAAAACCAATTATACAATTATAATTACCACAAAGTGGAATTCAGGTCCCTGAGAGACTGGCTCACGGGATCAAGGGTCAGACTACTTTTCTTGGGAAAGGCACCTTAAATCTGAGGTCCGAAGGAGCAGGATTTGGCTAAGTGAAGGCGGAAGTGAAGATAGAGGGATGGGGAAGGCAGAGAGCACAGCCTGCAGGAAGGCCTAAGGGAGGAAGGGACTGCAAGGACTGCCAGGCCCACAGGAGCCCTGGGAGGCAGGGAGGGCAAGAGCAAAGACGATGCTGTCCAGGAAGGCAGGGCCACATCCACAAGGGTCTGATAGGTGGTGAGGACTTAAGATGAGTCCTAAGGCCCATCACTTGATCAATGGCTAAATAAAATGTGGGACATTCATACAGTGGAATATTGTTCTGTGATGATCAGAAATGAGGTACGGATACATGCTGCAACATGGGGGAGCCTCAAAAATATTACTTTAAATGAAAGAAGCTGTCACAAAGGACCAAATATTATCTGATTCCATTTATAAGAAATGTGCAGAATAGGTAAATCCATAGAGACACAAAGTAGATAAACGGTTGCCTAGGGATCAGGGGAGTGGGAGATGGGGTGGGGGGTGGGGCACTAAAGGAGGGGTTTCTTTTGTGGTTGATGAAAATGTTCTAAAACTGATGATGATGATGGATGCACAACTCTGTGAATATACTAAAATACGTCCAATTGTGAGCTTTAAATGGGTGAATTGGATGCTATGCAAAACAAACAAAAGATTAGAGCTAAGGGGTTTCAGCCGCGAAGTGACTTATCTGTTATGCAGAAGCATAAATCGCAGCGGGAAGGTTACTCCAGGTGAGCGCGCTCGCGGGTGCTCGGGCCAGACGGGGCCACGTCCGCTTTTTAAAATGGGGAAACTGAGGCTGCCCGCGGAGGTGCGTGCCAGACGGCGGACATTTCACTAGCACGCGCGCGGCAGCCCTGGTTCGCACAGGCGCCCGGAGCCCCCGGTCCTCCCCGCCACCCCGACCCTCCCCGCGTCCCCGCGGCCTTCCCCGCGCCTCCGAGCCACCCCGGCGAGGCCTGCGACTGGCCACCCGGCTCTCCGGTCGCACTAGCGGGACAGGGAGGGAGTCGGGGCGGCGCACGTGGCCGCTGGGTCCTCCGCCATCCTCGCCAGGCCGCGCACGCCCAAGCCCCACATGCCCAGCCCGCCCCGCAGCCCGAGCGGCTCCAACCCCCGCCCTCCGCCGGCGCCGCGCGGCTCACCCGCCTCCGCTAGGGAACGCCAACCCGGGTCGCGGCGGACACCGCGGCACGAATGCGCCTGCGCCCCCGGCCCGGCGGCGCGCCAACCCCGCCCACAACTGTGCGCCGAGCGCCCTCTGCCGGCCGCGCGCGGGACTCGGGGTTTGTTTCGAAGGGCACCCAACACTCCATACTTAGCGGGTGCTCCTTCCCTGATCCGACCCCACCCAGTTGAAAAAGAAAGCTGTCCCACTTTACCTTAGACGCCCACTCTTCCTTCTGGCTGTTGCTACCTCGGATATAAGCCCTGAAGGCAGGCTCTCCCCCATATTCCTGAATATGGATTATTGCTAAAATATTAGGGGTGTTCCAGACCTGTGGGAAGGCTTTCTGGAGGATTTTTCCTAAACCACTCGTGTTGATGACAGGAATTATATTTGGATGGGAATCTGCGTTTTGAGTCATTTCATCAAATGACAATCCCATAACACCTGTCAAAAGAATAAATATGACAGTAATAGGCATGCTTCCTTTCAGACCCGTCTATAATTATAATTGAGGAAAAGAATACAGAATTTAAACTCAGAGCTACTGCCAGTATCATTCTTTGAAAATGAAATAATGCTGTTTTATTAAATAGGCTCTCCCTGCTCTCTAATGTTTAAAGCTAGAGTGCTTCTCTGAATTGATTTAAATACAAGTTTTATATCCTGAAAGAAATAAAGATGAGTCTTTATCTTAAGACTGTTCAGTGATGCTACTGATCTTCTCTCAGCTCATGTCTAAAAGGGAGTTAGGTTGTTAGTGGATAATATTGCTTCTGTTCACGTCTCTCTTCTCGGGGGCTTTTAAAACCTATTTGTAATGAAAAGGCTGATTTCCTTACAGACAGACTCCATGTGTAGCTGATTTCAAAGGACTACTTTTTATTATTTTTTCTCTTTCTTTCTTTTTTTTTTTTTTTTAAGGAAACATTGCTCCTTGGAGGTACCTGGGAACCTATTTTTCTTCTTGTAGGATAAGAGAATCAGGAATATTTCTTAACAAGTGTTTTTTAGGGTTTTCTTTCTTTTGTTTTTTCGTAACTCCCTTAGAGTTTTGATTGGGTTTTTTCCCCTCTTCACCTAACTAGCATTCCTTCAAATCAGGCGGGGGTTTCTCCCCTGAAATATTCAGATAATTACCTCAACCCTTCCATTTATTTTCAATATGTAGACTTGGACCAAATATATCTGAAAGATACGATTGTACCCTCATAAATCAGCCCTCTTATTTACACACACATAGGCAGGGGCATCTCATAAGTGCAGATCCGATCAATAAATCATAAGCTTTTAAGGCCCTTATTAGGAACAGTCTGCAGTATCACCATCCATTCCTGTTTTCAGCCTTAGGACCACTTAATATTTTGAAGAAATTTCAGTTTGTTCTCTGGCCCCATCTCCCTTTTGTTCCTAGATCGCTGTGTTCCTGCGTCAGAAACATTGTTCCAATACCTAGATCTCATAAAATATTCAAGATGCAAGCTGTTCACTTTACCTCAGAAAGGCTCCACCTTCAGAATTACTTGTGCCTCTTCTGTCCTGACAAACACACGGGATTTTACCTTTCACAAAAATTCCTTATAAACATCCCCACACCAAGACAGAAAATAATCCGAAGTCGAATAGGCTTGGATCACAGGCTCCAACTTTCTTCCAAGTCATGATGGAAACCTAGGTTTTTTTGACAATTGGATTATAATGCTTTGAACTTGACAGCAACCTTAGGTTTTTTACAGCTTCAGTAGTAAAACTAAAGAATTCTTACCAGTCTAAAGATTCATTAAAATGACACCAAGCCCATAAACTAATGAAAACCCAACCATTCTTACCATGTCATTTTCCTTTACACTGAAATTTTAGCAAATGAACACTCTCATGTCAGACAGTGCATGATATTTACAGAAAAACAGAATTGAAAGACTTTTTAGTTGAGCAGTTTGTCACCCAAGAATTGACTGTCCAGGGTACATGTCCCCACAGAGGAGTTTATCAACTTTCCTAAGACATACATCACCACATTCTCTTGATTTCTGACATTATGTCATTTAAACTGACAACTGTGGATTTGTAACCAGTATTTGTAGGAAAAGATACAACTAGTCCTGGTACTTCTTCCAGTTTAAACCTGTTTTTAGGTTTCAAAGAGAAATGATACATTTGCATTCTCTGGTTAAATCAGGTTATTGTCTCAAAGGTGAACCATGTAAATAATTCAAATTAATTCATCACTGTACAATAGATTTAATAAGCATAGTAAACACTTTAAAGAAAACACTTAGGACCCTCGGTCTGCCCTTGCTCTCAATCCCCATTATCTCAAATTTCTCTGTGAGCAGAATGAGTGGTACCACGTTGTTCTCTTCTATTCAAAATATGCAAAGTTACTATTTACTAGTTTGTAATTTGCATGTCTCAAATCCTGCCAGAACACAGGATGAGGGGCATGGGGTGACTGGTGAATGTGCCAAAAGGGGACACCAGGGCAAAAATGGAAAACCCAATGAACAGATCTTCTCTGCCCCAGGGTGTTGCAAAACATAACCCTCACTGACTACTGAAGATTTGTTTTTAAAACAACGAAAATATTAGGTATAAAAGCTTATTTGAAATCTCAGACATGTGTCTTTTCTTCTTTAATTGCTGGATTGAAGAAGGGGATGAGCAAGGATTTCAAGGTTTTTATAAAAAGAAGTACAAGAGAGAAAAGGGTACAACTGTGACTATTTACAACATACACTTGGAGAGTAATTTATGGCCTGGATTTTAGCCTCCCTGGACCTCTGTCTCGTGTTACTTTCTGCAGCTCCACAAATCTAAACTTGCTGACTGGTATGTATCATTCTGTATTTCTTGTTGTGTTCTGTAGTAATATATTTACAGTGGCCACACGTGGGATCACATTGATGATCAGATGTATGTCATCTCTGAATCTGTCTCCACTTTTTCATCTCTTGAAAATATGTTCACTGTCTCGTGATTTCAGATTATAAATAACAGGCACACACGTACATGCAATTTTTTTGTATAAATCACATTTGGAATGGAATTTTTCCCATAAAAAGTAGAAGTGCATGCTGGATGTGTATATGGCCATATTAACAAAGGAGTGAACATAGTTAGGAACATTTTCCTTTTTTGCATTTTGATGGCATTTGACTAAAGATCCACTTTGAAATTACCTTACAGGTAATTTCATAAGGTGTAATTCTGTTTCCACTAATTACATCTGCGGCGTCTTAATATGGCCACAGATAAGAATTAAATGCCACAGTTAATAGAAATGGAGACTGTGAGAAATAATCAACTTTGTTAAACAGGATTATTTGGAGGAAGAGGAAAGACAGAGAGACGTAGAAGGGAAGGTGGGACAGGACTGAGAAAAAAGAAAAGGTGGAAGGGAGTTATCCTTTTGGTGCGCTCCCGAAGAGAAAGGCCTGATAAAGTGAAGCAGCCCAGAAAAAAAGGGCATCATTAGTTAAGGAAAACCATTATTCATTTTGGCCAGGAAATAGAGTGTTCTGGTCAATCAAATGTGTAGCTAATAGGTGCCTTCCACTTCAGCAAATATCTGTTGACACTCTGCCATGCGCAAAACTCCACGCGAAGCTGGAATCATAGCAGAGGCCTCCAAACTCCCCGCTCCTCCCCGCCCCGCTCCGTCTTGTCCTTCTCTGCTTTTTCTTGGAGGCAGATCTGATCTTGTTACTGTCCTGCTTTAGTCCCCTCGATGGCCCCTCAGTGTTCTCTGAATAGATGTGCCAAACTCCTCACCACGTCTTACAAGACCCTGCAGAACCTCCTAGGCTTGCCTTCATGTCCCTGGCTCCCTGCTGCAGCCACAGTGGCCTTTCTGACCCTTGAATGCACCATGTTCCTTCCACCCTGCTCCTCCATTAGATCCCAAATCACAGGTCTCTTTGTCACCTTCCCCGTGCTCGACTCCCACTCAACACCGGGGCCGACAATCCTGTCCCCACAAATGGTAGCCTGTACCTTTCTCCATGGCACACGTCACCATTGATAATTATGTAGACCTTAGTTTGGATTCCCTCAGAAGAAGACTCTGAAGCAAGGATTTGAGAGCAAGTAATTTATTTGGAGGGTGATCTTAGAAAACGTCCAGCAAAGGAAGTGAGCCAGGGTAGGGAAGGCAACCCAGAAAAAGAATATTGTCCAGCAAGTTACCACCTTGGACAACTGAGCTTGATCCTGCTGGGGGGCCAGTGTGGAACACCACCTCAGTTATCCCACCCGAGGGGCGTGGGAGCTGGGGTATTTATACAGCACCTCCTGTTAGCTACTGGTTGAATGATGCTCTCAGGGGCGCTAACCCCCTGCTACTATTTCTGGCCTGCCAGGCTCGAGGGCAAAGAGATACAGATGCAGATACAGATGCAGATGCTGGCAGTTGGAAGTCAGCCAAGCATCCGCCATGGTAAGGCTCAAGGAACTATGGGTGAGGCAGTGACAGTTCTTCTAGTTACATATACATTTACATATAATACATACATATATATGTATATTGTCGTCTCCACTAGAGCCCCCTGAGAGCAGGGACTGAGTGGCAGTGTCTCACCTGTGCCTCACTTCCTGTGGCCACCATTAAAGTCACTCCCCCTTACCAACAGCCTCAACTCCCTGGTTCCACTCACTCAGGATGAATCTACCATCCACCTTCTCCAACCTGCACCCAAGCAGATTAGTGTTGAGAGAAAATGACACAACAGAGCTGATGGGTTTTTCTCTAAATTTATGATCCAGACTCAAAGACATACGGGATGCTGGCTGGGAAGAAAATGACTGTTTCTCATAACTCCCACAGTCCACCTCCGCCCTCGTTCTCAGCCGATGACCTCACTGATGAGTTAGACACCATCAGTGGAGAGCGTCTCACCTCTTCTGCTTCTTTCCTGTTACACCGAGAAAGGTTTCCTTCTGTCTCTGAAAAACCAATCCCTCTGCTGGTTCTCTGGGTTCTACCCCCGCTGCCTTCCTAAAACCTTTGCTCCTGCAGTTATCCCCTCTCTCCTGCTTCATTAATCTCCTCTTCTCC